ATGAGGAACATCCCAGGGTCGGCTTTACCTTGTGCACCATCACCTTGTGCACCTGAACCTTGCACAGCGCCACCGCGTGCACGTTCACCACTTGGCGGCTTCATGCCTGGAGGGGCCCATCCCTCAGGCCGGCTGAAACACTTGAACCACGGGTGTCCAGCCTTCTTGCAGTACCAGCACGCACCCTCCATTCGGGTGCTCCCCCTGCCACCAGAGCTCCCATGCCCCTCATTGTAGTCACCTCGGCCTCTCCCTCTGCCAAAGCCTCTCCCACGGCCTCGGCCTCTCCCTCCCCCTCTTCCTCTGCTGCCTCCTGCAGCTCCATACCCCTCAGCAGTTTTGTTGGCAGCACCACCTCCCGTGTGGCGTCTGCGGAAGTCCTCCTGCAGAATCTGCTGCCGTAGCCACTCAGGCGTCCATTTGTCCTGCTGAACGTTGAGGGTGGGGATGAGGTTGTCCCACGAGTTGTCGAGCACCGAGATGATCTTGGTGCACTGTTGCATCTGCGACACTTCGCTGCCCGCCGCTGCCATCCTCGCATAGGTGTCCTTGATCTTGTCAAGGACCCGTTTCACATCATCTCCCGGTTTCATGGAGAGGGCAGCCAACTCCTTCTCCAACACAATCACCATCGGCAGCGTGTTGGGCTGAATCACGTCGCGTAGCAGCTTCCATGCCTTCGGTCCGGAATCATCCAACTCCACCAAATCCTTGATGTGCTGGAACATGTCGTTGTTGACCGATTGGAGGATGAGGTCGTACAGCACCGCGCTCTTCTCAATCCACCGATCGCGGGCATCTCCTTCCCCCGGCATCTTCTCCTCTCCCATTGCAATTTTCAGCAGCTTGTAGCGCTTGAAGGCGCTCCGCATCCGCCCGCTCCATTCCTCATAGTTGGAGCCATCCAAAGCTTCAATCTTGGATGGTGGCGGCTCACTCCTCTTCTCAGCTGCATCTCCACTCCCTTGATTCATCTCCTCTGCTCCCAATCAGAGGTTTCAGCTCCCCCTTTTGCTGGTCACAATGTAGATCCACACAATCTTCACAAGTGTCAGCGCCAACGAAATTTCGGCAGAGTTTCCCCTTAGCGGAAGTCACATCCAACCTCCAGAACTCCACTTAGGCACGCCCACAGGCCATGGTGGGTCTAGGAGGGTCTTCACACTTCAGTAGACTCCCCACAAGGTCCTTAATCAGCTCTGATACCACTTGTTAGAGATTAAGGACGGAGTCTATGAAGATTAGGGGCTGAAATATCTCAAAATCGTCAACTACAATTCTGGACAGAAAAGTCGTCGTCACAAGAAACGTCGTCGACGAAAGGTCCACTGTTAGAATTCTTTCAAACTCGAGTATGTTGTAGCCCTTGACCGTGGCTATCTTTCCCAATTTGAATAGTATCAGAATATGGAGTATAACTCGAGTTATGAACTTCGGCGCACTAGGGGGTATGCTGCCATAGAAAACGTAACTCAATCACAATGATCTCACAAGTTCACACAAGAAAGTTAGAGTAGCAATAGAACCAGGTAGGAGGGGATGAGGAGGACGAGAGGGAAGGTCCCAAGAGAGTCCCCAACCAAGGAAACCCCATGCCATACAATTCCCTTCCCCATAGGCAACCCAACTTTGACCTTTGTCACTATCCCAACCTCCACAATCCACCTCAACCCAACTTGGCCACACTTGCCAACCTGGTTTGGTTTCTCCCAACCATTTGGCAGCAACTACAGTAGAAAAGACGAATTTCCCAACCCCCAAAAGTCTGTACCCCATATTGAGTCAACCCCACAACTTCCCATAGTCACCACAACCAAATATCAAAAGCATACGAACTCCAACGTTCGTAACTTTCTTGTTCGTGCTCCGATTGAAGCGATACTTGGTTCCTCGGAAAGCTCTTGAGCAGAGGAGTCACTTCAGATATCTGCTCAAGCCAAATAACATTCACACACACACTCAGAAAAACCAAACCGCACAAAACACAAATTCTTGCACACACTCACAACACGCATGCAACGCACGAACATATGATGGGAGGCAGACAGACGTGAATGCGAATGGTAGCATCACTCAACAAAGTGAGGGAGTGGGAGGAACAGCAGCAGAGGCAGCGAGAGCAACAGCAGCAGAGGCAGCGAGAGCAACAGCAGCAGAGGCAGCGAGAGCAACAGCAGCAGCAGCCGCAGCAGCAAGGGCAGCAAGGAGGGTTGGTTGTGCGAGGGAATGAGACTGGAGCAGCACCTTCACATGACGTACGATGTGTGTGGGGCGGGAGAAAGAGTGGGGAAAGGGAGAGAGGGGAGGAGGGGGGCCGTGCGTGTGTGTGTGTGTCTGCATGTGTTTGTGTGTGTGTGTGTGTGTGTGTGTGTGTGTGTGTGTGTGTATGTGTGTGTGTGTGTGTGTGTGTGTGTGTGTGTGTGTGTGTGTGTGTGTGTGTGTGTGTGTGTGTGTGTGTGTGTGTGTGTGTGTGTGTGTGTGTGTGTGTGTGTGTGTGTGTGTGTGTGTGTGTGTGTGTGTGTGTGTGTGTGTGTGTGTGTGTGTGTGTGTGTGTGTGTGTGTGTGTGTGTGTGTGTGTGTGTGTGTGTGTGTGTGTGTGTGTGTGTGTGTGTGTGTGTGTGTGTGTGTGTGTGTGTGTGTGTGTGTGTGTGTGTGTGTGTGTGTGTGTGTGTGTGTGTGTGTGTGTGTGTGTGTGTGTGTGTGTGTGTGTGTGTGTGTGTGTGTGTGTGTGTGTGTGTGTGTGTGTGTGTGTGTGTGTGTGTGTGTGTGTGTGTGTGTGTGTGTGTGTGTGTGTGTGTGTGTGTGTGTGTGTGTGTGTGTGTGTGTGTGTGTGTGTGTGTGTGTGTGTGTGTGTGTGTGTGTGTGTGTGTGTGTGTGTGTGTGTGTGTGTGTGTGTGTGTGTGTGTGTGTGTGTGTGTGTGTGTGTGTGTGTGTGTGTGTGTGTGTGTGTGTGTGTGTGTGTGTGTGTGTGTGTGTGTGTGTGTGTGTGTGTGTGTGTGTGTGTGTGTGTGTGTGTGTGTGTGTGTGTGTGTGTGTGTGTGTGTGTGTGTGTGTGTGTGTGTGTGTGTGTGTGTGTGTGTGTGTGTGTGTGTGTGTGTGTGTGTGTGTGTGTGTGTGTGTGTGTGTGTGTGTGTGTGTGTGTGTGTGTGTGTGTGTGTGTGTGTGTGTGTGTGTGTGTGTGTGTGTGTGTGTGTGTGTGTGTGTGTGTGTGTGTGTGTGTGTGTGTGTGTGTGTGTGTGTGTGTGTGTGTGTGTGTGTGTGTGTGTGTGTGTGTGTGTGTGTGTGTGTGTGTGTGTGTGTGTGTGTGTGTGTGTGTGTGTGTGTGTGTGTGTGTGTGTGTGTGTGTGTGTGTGTGTGTGTGTGTGTGTGTGTGTGTGTGTGTGTGTGTGTGTGTGTGTGTGTGTGTGTGTGTGTGTGTGTGTGTGTGTGTGTGTGTGTGTGTGTGTGTGTGTGTGTGTGTGTGTGTGTGTGTGTGTGTGTGTGTGTGTGTGTGTGTGTGTGTGTGTGTGTGTGTGTGTGTGTGTGTGTGTGTCTGTGTGTGGAAGAGAGGGGGGGAGAGGGGGTGTTCACGTGCATGTTTCTTCGTGGTGACACTTGTATCGCATGTTGCACACAGCACTCCCATCCGACATCGATGTACTGTTCACCAAAACAAAGTCCGCGAGGCGCTATTTCTCAGCTCTGTTGTCTAGAATGAGTTTGGTTATTTGTGCGATAAAGAAGCACAGGAAGACAGATAATAAGAAGTGTTTGATACAGAAAAACTGTTTTTTTCCTTTCTTTATTTCTTTCTTTCTTTCTTTCACTGTTGGTTGGTTGGCTGTTTTACATGCTTCAAGTCACACCCGTTTTCACTCAAACCAACAGCTGCTCTGTTCTAGCAGCAGTGCCTTCGAAAGGCAAGATTACTGTCACTGTATCCAAGTCACTTTTGAGAAATCCCAAAAATGTTGATTCAGAGAATCCTTAACTATGCCACACAGACAATTTTGAGGCGCCTCAAAAGGAGGTGTATTTTGAGGCGCCTCAAGATTCAGAGAATCCTTAACTATGCCACACAGACCCTCTCATCCCAACCCTCATCCCCTTCCCCGCCCTCCCTCTCCCCCCGCCTGTGTGTGTTACCCCCGATTTTGCCCTCTTCAGGATGGCATTGGCTGTGTGCCATTACAAGGTGACAAGCAGCCTGAAGCAGGCAGCAGCAGCAGCAGCCGTGTGATGGCTCAACAAGCAGGGACAGGTGACACAAGGGTGGAACTGGGTGGTGATGTGCACATGCAGCTGCTGCCGCAAGGAGGCATGCACACAGAGCGCCGAGGGGAGAAGCAGGAGGAGGTGCCGCTAATCCAACACCAAGGGCTGCAGCTGCAGCCGCAGCCGCAGACGCCGCTGCAGCAGCAGCAGCAGCAGCAGCAGTGGTGGTGGGCGTGGTTCTGGAAACCCAGCAACTACTGCCATGAGTGTGATGTGAGTAGTACCTAGCATTGGTCGAGCAGGCGTAATCGAGCTTTGAGACGTCTCAAAACTCTACTGCCACGAGTGTCATGTGAGTGAGTAGCACCTAGCGGTGGTCGAGCAGGCGTGATCTCTCTTTGGTGGCAATGTAAGAACAAAATATGAGCACGTCATTGAAGCACGTCGAATCCCACATCATGATTGTTGCCCCTGCTGGTGAAGCAGGGGAGTTCAAAACACCACCCATCCGTGGTGAATAGAAATGTGCTACCCAGGATCTAGAGAGATTAGGGCCCGTGCCCTAGCGTAGTTGATTGATTGGGGCTTGTAAGAATATATGAACAACTGACAAGAGTATTGGGGGATTTGGGAGGGGGTGGGGGGCGGGGAGTGCATGGAAGGGTTTGGGGGGGGTGGAGATAGTGCATGCATGCGGCAAATGTCTTAGTAAACACGATAAGGCTCTACATGTTAAAGATTTATGCAGGTGTGGAGCTGGGTGTCGTCACGGGGCTGCTGGAAGTGCCATCGGTGAGTGGACCAATATGGACATGGCCATGTACACATCGCCATCTCTGCCCTTGTGTGCACATGGCCATGTTGTGGGCCTCACCTCTCTCTCCCTGCGCTTCTCCTCCCGTCCACACACCCCTCTCTCTGTGTTAACGTGTGGCGGTGGCCGCGGTCTCGGCACTGCTGGAAGTGACATTGCTGTGCGGACCATCACGGACGCACATTCTCACTGCTCTCTCTCCTGCCTTATCCTCCATTCGTCCCCACACCCCTCTCCCCTACGTGCGAGCAGGTGTGGCGGTGGGCGCGGTCACGCCATTGCTGGAAGTGCCATCGCTGTGTGGATCGATACGACCACCACTGCCCCGCTATATGCACCTGCGTGGGTATGACTCGTTATAAGCACACACAACATACGCTGGGTAGCAACTGTTCTTCTTCTAACCCCTTTAATTCTTTAATTTCTACCATGTACATGGGATGATCGTGTCTGCTGTGTACGTTTGTTTGTGTGACTGTCCATTTGTGAGTATTCGTTTGCCACTGTGCTGCCTCGTGTGAGTATCATTGTGGCTGCTTTGACTCTCGCACAGGATCAAACTCTAAAGTCTTGTGTGTGGAGCGTGTAGCACACCTTAGACTCTTTCTTTGACCTGGTTTTTGAATTTGAATTTGACACTGACTTGACAAGGATTTGACTTGACTTGACAATGACTTTGACTCTGCCTTGTCAGAACATTGGCAGCTGTGATTCCCTCCTTCCCCCCTCCCGCCTTGACTCAATAGCGCTCATGATGACAAGTTGTGATTCACAACATTCTTGACTTGCTGCATTCTTTTGAAACACTTTCCGTTCACACACATTCTTGCGGCACATCCTTTTTCCGACACACACTCTCTTAACTAGCAATTAGGCTACACACACATTCTTCCAACAAGCATTTCTTTCTCTCATACATTCTTCTGGCGCCAATTCAGGTCGTCGCAACCACCGGCTGTTCCTCCTGCTCATCGTTGCCTTCATCGCTGGTGAACTCACCTTTGCAGCCAGCTGCCGTGCCTGTGAGTGCATGAGTGATGTATGCGGTTGAAGCTCTTGTATGGCTGTGACGGTCTTTGGTCTTTGCCTGCTTGTGCTTAGCCCTGGCCAGTGACCAATGCCGGCAGTGTCCCAAGAAATCAAAGATCCGACCCGGATCCAGCAGACTAAACTCCTCCTAAACATCACCACACGCTTTTGAGTCGACTCAAAAGTCAGCAGACTAAACTCCTCCTAAAATTCGCCATTCCCTGTATATTCCTTGTCTACCTAATCCCTAGCCTTGACATTTACGATAGCGAGTAGTGAATGTGTTTGATCTGCTGGACCTTGGTCTGGATCGGAATCGAATCCTCAATCTCCTGCAGGGTGGTTTTGAGAATTCTCAAAAACGAGTTTGATCTGCTGGACCTTGGTCTAAGTCGAATCCTCCATCTCCTGGGACACTGAGGCGGAAGTTGGCACCATGCCGTGGGTCATGGCCGTTCCTCTCCCATATCCGCCTCTCCCATATCCGCCTCTCCCATATCCGCCTCTCCCATATCCGCCTCTCCCATATCCGCCTCTCCCATATCCACCTCTCCCATATCCGCCTCTCCCATATCCGCCTCCTCCTCCAATCATCATTCGTTCCCACCACACCTTGCCTCTCATCATCTCTTCACCTTGCCTCTCATCATCTCTTCACCTTGCCTCTCATCATCTCTTCACCTTGCCTCTCATCATCTCTTCACCTTGCCTCTCATCATCTCTTCACCTTGCCTCTCATCATCTCTTCACCTTGCCTCTCATCATCTCTTCACCTTGCCTCTCATCATCTCTTCACCTTGCCTCTCATCATCTCTTCACCTTGCCTCTCATCATCTCTTCACCTTGCCTCTCATCATCTCTTCACCTTTGCCTCTCATCATCTCTTCACCTTGCCTCTCATCATCTCTTCACCTTTGCCTCTCATCATCTCTTCACCTTGCCTCTCATCATCTCTTCACCTTGCCTCTCATCAGCTCTTCACCTTGCCTCTCATCATCTCTTCACCTTGCCTCTCATCATCTCTTCACCTTGCCTCTCATCATCTCTTCACCTTGCCTCTCATCATCTCTTCACCTTGCCTCTCATCATCTCTTCACCTTGCCTCTCATCATCTCTTCACCTTTGCCTCTCATCATCTCTTCACCTTTGCCTCTCATCATCTCTTCACCTTTGCCTCTCATCATCTCTTCACCTTTGCCTCTCATCATCTCTTCACCTTGCCTCTCATCATCTCTTCACCTTGCCTCTCATCATCTCTTCACCTTGCCTCTCATCATCTCTTCACCTTGCCTCTCATCATCTCTTCACCTTGCCTCTCATCATCTCTTCACCTTGCCTCTCATCATCTCTTCACCTTGCCTCTCATCATCTCTTCACCTTGCCTCTCATCATCTCTTCACCTTGCCTCTCATCATCTCTTCACCTTTGCCTCTCATCATCTCTTCACCTTGCCTCTCATCATCTCTTCACCTTGCCTCTCATCAGCTCTTCACCTTGCCTCTCATCATCTCTTCACCTTGCCTCTCATCATCTCTTCACCTTGCCTCTCATCATCTCTTCACCTTTGCCTCTCATCATCTCTTCACCTTGCCTCTCATCATCTCTTCACCTTGCCTCTCATCAGCTCTTCACCTTGCCTCTCATCATCTCTTCACCTTGCCTCTCATCATCTCTTCACCTTGCCTCTCATCATCTCTTCACCTTGCCTCTCATCATCTCTTCACCTTGCCTCTCATCATCTCTTCACCTTTGCCTCTCATCATCTCTTCACCTTGCCTCTCATCATCTCTTCACCTTGCCTCTCATCAGCTCTTCACCTTGCCTCTCATCATCTCTTCACCTTGCCTCTCATCATCTCTTCACCTTGCCTCTCATCATCTCTTCACCTTGCCTCTCATCATATCTTCACCTTGCCTCTCATCATCTCTTCACCTTGCCTCTCATCATCTCTTCACCTTGCCTCTCATCATCTCTTCACCTTGCCTCTCATCATCTCTTCACCTTGCCTCTCATCATCTCTTCACCTTGCCTCTCATCATCTCTTCACCTTGCCTCTCATCATCTCTTCACCTTGCCTCTCATCATCTCTTCACCTTGCCTCTCATCATCTCTTCACCTTGCCTCTCATCATCTCTTCACCTTGCCTCTCATCATCTCTTCACCTTGCCTCTCATCATCTCTTCACCTTGCCTCTCATCATCTCTTCACCTTGCCTCTCATCATCTCTTCACCTTGCCTCTCATCATCTCTTCACCTTGCCTCTCATCATCTCTTCACCTTGCCTCTCATCATCTCTTCACCTTGCCTCTCATCATCTCTTCACCTTGCCTCTCATCATCTCTTCACCTTGCCTCTCATCATCTCTTCACCTTGCCTCTCATCATCTCTTCACCTTGCCTCTCATCATCTCTTCACCTTGCCTCTCATCATCTCTTCACCTTGCCTCTCATCATCTCTTCACCTTGCCTCTCATCATCTCTTCACCTTGCCTCTCATCATCTCTTCACCTTGCCTCTCATCATCTCTTCACCTTTGCCTCTCATCATCTCTTCACCTTGCCTCTCATCATCTCTTCACCTTTGCCTCTCATCATCTCTTCACCTTGCCTTACCTTGCCTCTCATCATCTCTTCACCTTGCCTCTCATCATCTCTTCACCTTGCCTCTCATCATCTCTTCACCTTGCCTCTCATCATCTCTTCACCTTGCCTCTCATCATCTCTTCACCTTGCCTCTCATCATCTCTTCACCTTGCCTCTCATCATCTCTTCACCTTGCCTCTCATCATCTCTTCACCTTGCCTCTCATCATCTCTTCACCTTGCCTCTCATCATCTCTTCACCTTGCCTCTCATCATCTCTTCACCTTGCCTCTCATCATCTCTTCACCTTGCCTCTCATCATCTCTTCACCTTGCCTCTCATCATCTCTTCACCTTTGCCTCTCATCATCTCTTCACCTTGCCTCTCATCATCTCTTCACCTTTGCCTCTCATCATCTCTTCACCTTGCCTCTCATCATCTCTTCACCTTGCCTCTCATCAGCTCTTCACCTTGCCTCTCATCATCTCTTCACCTTGCCTCTCATCATCTCTTCACCTTGCCTCTCATCATCTCTTCACCTTGCCTCTCATCATCTCTTCACCTTGCCTCTCATCATCTCTTCACCTTGCCTCTCATCATCTCTTCACCTTTGCCTCTCATCATCTCTTCACCTTTGCCTCTCATCATCTCTTCACCTTTGCCTCTCATCATCTCTTCACCTTTGCCTCTCATCATCTCTTCACCTTGCCTCTCATCATCTCTTCACCTTGCCTCTCATCATCTCTTCACCTTTGCCTCTCATCATCTCTTCACCTTTGCCTCTCATCATCTCTTCACCTTTGCCTCTCATCATCTCTTCACCTTTGCCTCTCATCATCTCTTCACCTTGCCTCTCATCATCTCTTCACCTTGCCTCTCATCATCTCTTCACCTTGCCTCTCATCATCTCTTCACCTTGCCTCTCATCATCTCTTCACCTTGCCTCTCATCATCTCTTCACCTTGCCTCTCATCATCTCTTCACCTTGCCTCTCATCATCTCTTCACCTTGCCTCTCATCATCTCTTCACCTTGCCTCTCATCATCTCTTCACCTTGCCTCTCATCATCTCTTCACCTTGCCTCTCATCATCTCTTCACCTTGCCTCTCATCATCTCTTCACCTTGCCTCTCATCATCTCTTCACCTTTGCCTCTCATCATCTCTTCACCTTGCCTCTCATCATCTCTTCACCTTTGCCTCTCATCATCTCTTCACCTTGCCTCTCATCATCTCTTCACCTTGCCTCTCATCAGCTCTTCACCTTGCCTCTCATCATCTCTTCACCTTGCCTCTCATCATCTCTTCACCTTGCCTCTCATCATCTCTTCACCTTGCCTCTCATCATCTCTTCACCTTGCCTCTCATCATCTCTTCACCTTGCCTCTCATCATCTCTTCACCTTTGCCTCTCATCATCTCTTCACCTTTGCCTCTCATCATCTCTTCACCTTTGCCTCTCATCATCTCTTCACCTTTGCCTCTCATCATCTCTTCACCTTGCCTCTCATCATCTCTTCACCTTGCCTCTCATCATCTCTTCACCTTGCCTCTCATCATCTCTTCACCTTGCCTCTCATCATCTCTTCACCTTGCCTCTCATCATCTCTTCACCTTGCCTCTCATCATCTCTTCACCTTTGCCTCTCATCATCTCTTCACCTGCCATTCACCCAGCATCTTTGAGAACGTCAAACCATTTCCCTCCCCTCCCATCCCCTCCCCTTCCCTCCCTCCCTCACCTCCCCTTCTTCTCACCCACCGTCCCCACCAGTCCTAGCGTCACATCACCTCCTTCACCTGCCCTCCACCCAACCCCTCATCTTCCCGAATCGTACGTACCCTTTACAACGAGGTGACTTCTGAGTCCACTCAAAAGTGATCTTCCCGAACCGTACGTATCCTTTACCCATGTCATCTCTTCAGGTGCCCCTTACCCACCCTTGTAGTAACACTTACGCTTCGTCATCAGCATGTGCTACCTGGCACGGTGGTCAGCTCTCATGTGCTCCCGGAGTAGTTAGCTGTACATACCATACCAGCACCCTCCGTTCCTGTTTTAGACACGCCTCTCCAATCTCTTCCTCCTCACCATCTTGCAGCTTTTTTATTAGCGTCCCACTCTTGTAATTCCTGCCTTTTCACCCCTCTCCTCTCTAGCGTTCCACATCTTGCATGCCCCTCTCTCCTCTCGCTCGCTTGCGTCTTTTCGTGTGTCCCTCCCCATCCTCCCTCTCCCATGCACTGCTGTGCTTCAGAAGGTGCTCCTAGAGGCGTAGATGTGTCCTTTCACATCATGATTGCTGCTTGCCTGTGCCCCTACCCCTCATCCTCTTGTGCTGTGCCCCTACCCCTCATCCTCTTGTGCTGTGCCCCTACCCCTCATCCTCTTGTGCTGTGCCCCTACCCCTCATCCTCTTGTGCTGTGCCCCTACCCCTCATCCTCTTGTGCTGTGCCCCTACCCCTCATCCTCTTGTGCTGTGCCCCTACCCCTCATCCTCTTGTGCTGTGCACCTACCCCTCATCCTCTTGTGCTGTGCCCCTACCCCTCATCCTCTTGTGCTGTGCCCCTACCCCTCATCCTCTTGTGCTGTGCCCCTACCCCTCATCCTCTTGTGCTGTGCCCCTACCTCTCTCCCTGCGCTGCTGTGCTTCAGTGGGTCCTATAAGGAGCGTAGAGACATCTGTCCGCATTAATATCCAGGTGCCCTACACTCACACTCGCTGCACTCACACTCGCTGCACTCTCACACTCACTGCACTCACACTGCACTCACACTCGCTGCACTCTCACACTCACTGCACTCACACTCACTGCACTCACACTCGTTGCACTCACACTCGCTGCACTCACACTCGTTGCGCTCGCACTCCCTGCGCTCACACTCCCTGCGCTCACACTCCCTGCACTCACACTCACTGCACTCACACTCACTGCATTCACACTCATCGCACTCACACTCACTGCACTCACTCCCATCACTGCATCGTATCCTTCGCAGGCCCTACTGGCCCAACCATGGGTGGTGCTGCTCATGCTCTGTGCCTACCTCCAAACCCTCTGGCAGGTAACGCACCTTCTTCCCTTCCACCTGCTTTCATTTCCTCCTCCTCCTTTCAGCTTACCCCAGTCTTCCTCCCCCTCGGTTTTTTAGCCGCCTCAAAATCTTCCTCACGGCGTTGGTTCATGTTTAGTGGTTCTCTCCCCCCTGCCTTGCACGTCTTCCATCTATAGAACAACCCTTACGCCTCCCTCTCTTTTACTCTCTCCTTTTTCTCCGGTGCTTCTTGTGACTTTTCTCTTCTTGGCCTTGCAGGCTCCCCTGCTCCTCTTCCACCTCTTCTGCATAGGACAAAACGTGACAACCTACGAGTGGGTGAGAACCATGCTGCCTTCTCCACTGATACAGCCATGATACAATGCGAAGCACCATCATCGCTCTGCATCACTCTTCCCCCTGTCTTCCCCTTCGCCTCTATGCATGTTTCACGCATTCCCATCGTCCCTATCGCATGTCTCCCCCCTTCCCCTTCGCCCTTACGCATGTCTCCCCCTTCCTCTTCCCCTTTCCTTTGTGCATCTCTCCACTCACTGCTCCCAATGCCCCCACCAGGCACGATGGAAGAAGGTTCCATACATGCACTATGAAGGACCGCCCTTCCTGTGTAAGTCCAAGTCTTACCATGGCATGGCATGGCGTGACATGGCATGGCATGATGTAACATAATGTTACCCAACTCGCTGGATAGGCAAGGTAGCAAGTGACAGGAAAATGCGGTTGTAAGGAAAGGATAGCGAGATTGCAGGTCAAGCTTCTTTTATCAAAAGACATGATTAGCTGGCGTATACGCAACCTTCACATCAATCAAAATTTCCAACAATCTCACATTGGTAATTACTGTACACACAATACAACCAAACACATTTTAAGCGCTTCTTTTAATTGGCTGAAAACATATCAAATATCCCAACTAAAGTGGATGAAGATGGGGCAACGTCCTCCTCTAACTGGTTGAAATCCAACTCCAAATGTGGGGGACAGAGACAACACATTAAAGGTACTGCAGTAAGCAAGATATATATACTCATCCCAATCTTCACTAGCTGGTTTCTTTCAAACGCTTAAGATACTTACACCCAAAAACAAAATCATTACCTTGTGAGGTTGACAGTGCTCGAAGTGTAACATTTCGAGTCCTTACGGCAATAAACGAATGAAGAACAATGAGTAAAAATAAAGATATTTCTTGACAATAAACACAAGAGAAGGATCTCTATTTCTTCTTTTATTATTAATGAATTGTGGTGTGGTAGTGTTCGAGAATTCAGCCGTTGTATAAGAGGGCTTGTGAGGAGAGCTGTAAGACTGACAAAATCCAAATTTTCCAAATGAAATGTTTGAGTTGGGAGGTGAATTAGCAAGCTTGGTACCCCAAACCCCTTCCTGTGAGTCATTTGGGAGTTCTACCCCTTCGCAACCTCGTTCAAAGAGATTCAAATGTGAGTTTGCTTAATGTGGCGCTTTGAGATGAGCTTGATTGTAGTGGAACAAGCTGTAGTTGCTTAAATGCTAGATTTATTGCAATCAGGCTCATTCTTAGCTGGGATTGCGAGGTAGCCACTTAGGAGTTGGTTAGCTTCCTAATCCTTTTAGCCATGGTTGGTGATTTGAACAGCAAGGCGTGGCATGACATGGCATGGCGTGGTATCACATGATAGAGGGCATGCAGCAGGATGATTCATGGATGTTGCCATGCCCGGTAAGGTTTGCACCTTTCCATTCCACTTCTGTGTGCCATGTTCCATGTTCCATGTGCCTTGATGATCGCATCTTGTGCCGATGTGTCACGATTCCATGGCATGCTGATGTATCATGATCGGTGGCCCTTGTATGGCTTGCGTGAACGTGCATGTGCGTGTGCTACTCATGTGCCTGCATGTTGCAAACGGGTCTCTGTTGCATCATCCTTCCACCAGCATCAGGAGAGCAAACAAAGCACTTCCACAACCCGTATGACCGTGGCTTCATGAAGAACTGGAGGTGCTTTCTCAAAGAGGACGACAGATATGACGAGCAGCGGCTACAGGAGAAGCAGCTGCAAGCAAGATAACTGACTTGGTGGTCGAAGCACTTCCACAACCCGTACGACCGTGGCTTCGTGAAGAACTGGAGGTGCTTCTTGAGAGAGGACGACAGATACGATGAGCAGTGACTGCAGGAGAAGCAGCAGCAAGCGAGATAACTCGAGAGGTAACTTGCTAGGTGGTAGTACGGAAATAACGTGATTTCAGAGGCTGCAATTATGCTTGTGGTATGTTTCGTTTCATATTTCCCAATGGAGTGGAGTCGTATTCATGTTTCATTGTTGACTACCCAGAAGGTGAATTTGTAGTAGGAACGATTCCTAAAAAATTGCCTAGGCAAAACAGCCCAGGAATACAGCAGCTTGTCGGCTCGTTAACCATTTCAGATTCTAGCTCATCATCAAATCACGTGGACAAAGCGCATGAGTCACCACGAGCAGAGTAGTTAAGCTACAGATCTATATCTTGCACTCAGTCAATTGTAGGAAGCACTTGATGGCATCTTTGCTAGGTCAACTTTCAAGGCCATACGCTACTGGATTTTTCTTCAGCAAAACAAAATACACAATGAAGTTCTAACACTGGATCACAGCGGTAAGCCAATGTGCATGATGCAGATTCTTCCTGCTCTAGTCTCCAACTACCCTGAGCATGCTATCTCCCAGTCATGGCCTTAGAGCTCATCGTCCCCCACAACAGCAGCTGCCATGTCAAGCTCCTCCTTGTCCGGCTCCCCCGACTCCAGGTTCGGGTCCTTGCCGAACCTAAACGGCGGCGCCCTGACTGCGTGTAAGGCATGAGCCCGAACACCCGCGCAGTTCGCATTTCCCGAGCCACGCGGCGCTGCGCCTTGGCAGACAGCCGAGTCTGCACTGCATGCGTGGATAGTGACGGACGGCGACATGGCATGAGGAGTGGAGGTGAATGACATGCATGTGTGCTTGTTAATGTGGAGGAAAAGGTTTTACAGGGAGTGTGAGTGAGGAGGATAGGCAGGCAGCACACATGGCAGTACGCACTGTAACTTGTACGAGGAGTGAGAGTAGACAGCACAGACAGTAGAGCAACTTGGAACCTAACATGAGGAGAGTGAGACTGCGGGCTCACCTTGTTCCTGGGTCTGATCTTGCCGGAAGCACATGCACCTGAATTTCAGAATTCTCAAGAAGCACATGGACCCAGTCAGCAGAGTTTCCCGTTCCACTATGCCCCTGTGTGCTGCCCTGACTCCCATATACATATTTCACAATCCAACTTCGCCACTTCTCTGTTCCTCCCCTTGCCCACTCCCTCCCTGTGCCTATCCGCCCTCACTTCCCCCCCCTGTGCCTTCATTGCCCCCTCTCCATCCCTCCCCTCATCTCACGCGGAAGTCAGCAGCACGCAGAGTCTCCTTGGTGGTTGGGGTGGGCAGATTGCTAAAGCAAGTCCCCCGTGCCGTCTGGGAGAGGCTGAGATATGTCCATGCCCAATTGCCTGCTTAGCTTGGCTGCTTTGAGGGTCAGGGACGGGGGTTGGGAGGACAGGGAGAGATGCAGGGAAGGATGTGGGGTGGGGGGCGCGATGTAGGCAGAAGAGAGAGAGATGGGGGGAATGGAAAATGTCAGGGAGGTGAGGAATGGGGAAGAGGAGCGGAGGCAAGGAAAATAGCGCATGGGCATAGTGAAATGGACGGACGACACAATATGAGGGGAGGTAACGTGCGATGGACCACCCATCTATTGCCATGCGCGCCTGCTGCTAACGCCCCTCTCCGCCTCCCCCCTCGCCGTCCTCTGCCAGGCGACCAGGCACGCACATGCACACACACGTGCAGCACACAAGCAGCACACATGCAATACACATGTACGCCAAACGCGCTGCTGAGAGCCACGTGGCAGGACAAGGTTCCACCAATGAAACAGCGCGTGCGTGGCAGGGATGACCTGGCTACCTAGAGCTTGGAGTGAGAAGCTGCTACGTTGTAACTGCATTCATTGGAGCCTAGCGTGTGACACTGCCACGTGTTCTGTGTGTGAGACTGCCACGTGTCAGCAGCACTCACTGGAGAGCGCCTGCTGGATCCACTGCCGCCACTCCCCGACCTCCTCCTTCTGCCCCTCCCCTCCGCCTCCCGCCTCCGCCCCGCCTTCCCCCGACCCCCCGCCACCACCGCCCGCAATCTGATCCGCGCTGGCTGCTGCTGGGGCTGGGAGCGGGGCGAAGTGGAATGGCGCTGCAACGGGGAAGAGGGCGAGACGAGGAGAGGGATAGGCATGGTTGAATGAAAGGTGAGGTGCGAGATGGTACGTAGTAAACTGAGAGGGAGGAGGGGGCTTAGAGCGCAATGAAGCCCCCAGCGATCTCATCAGCGTAAGGGATGCGCGCGGAGAAGGAACTGGTAAGGGGATGGCGGAGCGGAACGGATGATGTCAGCATGATTGATGGCGGTGGGGTTTGAAGAGTTTGATCGACGGTTTGTAACGGGGACAGATTGATGCGATCGGACGGTCCAGAAACTCTCGAGGTACGCGGAGATCCCGAGGTGACGTCGCTCACACCAGGGGCAGGAGAAGATGACGTCACTAAAGCCACGATTCGCTGGCCTTCTCTCAAGCCGCGACGCGCCGAC